CACACAGAAGTATATGAAAGTAACCTTCAAAAATAGCTTTCTAGGAGCACTATGTGTATATACAAAGGTGACAAGGAGTGTGCAGGCAAATCTGATCCTAAGAGGATATCATGATGCAGATCACAATTAAAACCATGCTTTTGCATGCACACCCATTCCCTGCCCATGTGCTGAACTTGCTGGTAAGGGAGTTTGCAAACAGTGGGGCTCAATACTTACTTTTGTTCAATGTAGAAGCTTGGGGGAGGGGTCGCGGTTAATGTTCTACTAACGTACATGATATAATATCTTCTAATTTTTAGAGGGAAGGCAAGGAGAATATGAGAAAGATTTTGGATCTGAGACAGAGACTGTGTCACACCTTGGTCACATCTTCTGTGACACGTAACTGTGTCCTGGACATAAAAATGTATTGCAATAATAATACTTTGTCACTAAGTTCTGCTTTTCACCCATAGAACTCAAATGGCTTTATGAAGAGGATTAAGTATCATTATTCGTATTTTACAGATAGGAAAATTAAGGCACATATAGACAAAGTGACTTGCCCAGAGTCATATCTAAGGTCAGTAATTGATCTGCTAATAGAACCCAGGCCTTTTGACTCCCATTACAGTGTCAGATACATTCAACAAGTTCTTTGAACTAAGAGCCCACTTTTAGAGAGGCGCAGTGTACAACAAAAGAAATAGTTACTTTTTTAAATTAAAATCGGTTACGTGCATACTTTTTTTACTATGAGATTTAAATAAAGTCAAATAAAACTAGCTTACCCAGATCAAGCCCCTTTACTATATTACTGCACAGAGTATGTCTGTTAAATAAGAGATCTAATTTTCCATTCAGGCACTTTTTGAAACAGAAAATTGAATATGCTCTTTCTAAACCAAGATTCCTGGAATACTCTACCTTCAAATATGCTGCTAAGCAACAAGCATCCAAATTCCTAAATACTGCCATCTACAACATAACCACATATTTCTACAGCTTTGCATTCTAGTACCAAACCTGCTCTGTTGTAATCTACCTTTAAGCAGTAGGAGGCCTGAAACAAAATTCCTCAAAAACACTGAGTGCTAACATTTCTATACTTTATTGATTTGTGAGGCACATTAGTTGGGTATCAAGCAAGCTTTCTATTAAACTACACTGACTAAGCACATATATTTGCACTGCCTCCCCAGAAAGAGCTCTTATGATCAGTATTTCCAGTGGAAAGTAATAATAAAATACCAGAGAACAATTACAGTCCACATTTATGAGCGCATTCTGTTTCTCTCCATCATCATCTTTGTTTATAAAATTGGCAAAGTTGCAAAGTCTTGTATAACTGGCAATCCATTTAAGATGGGGGGAGTCTGTTTATATCTGGTATCCAACCACATTATATTCTTATTGCCCAGGATTAGCATTATCCTGCTCAAATTTCTTCAGCCTCAGAAAATTGAACTTACTTCTGTGACAAGTGCTTTAGCCACACTGAAAAGCCTGCACAGGTTCAAAAGCTTGCAAGAAAAGTACCGCATTTGGTTTATTGACATTTATTTGCTTAAAATCCAAGGCTAATCACTGGTATCTTGCTCTAGTTCTATTTTTTCTTCTGAGTTGTACAAAAAGGATAAAAGATAAAAGAACAGCTCTCTCAGGCTTTAGGCCATCTTGATAAATATTTTAAAATTCAATTCTTATAAATCACAGCCCCACCAATTTCACCTCACCCCATATTCATGTGATGTTATTAACACAGCAGCCAAGACATCCAGTTTTAGGGGAAAATATGCTAACTACCACTTCCCTTTTCAATTCTCCCACCACCCAGAGGACCTTTTGCAGTACCCTTTCTCCTGCTTTCTTTCCAGCTAGGCAATGAGGAGCTGGAGAGAGCTCACAGGGAATCATGCATGCCCAAGGTTAACAGAGCTGACCTCTGAGCCCCATGAAGAGAAATCTCAGCATTCATTAAAACCCAGACCAAAAAACCCTGTATACCCAGCCTTCTTCCTTATGAAAGCAGCCTCAGGAGTGTAAACCACTCACTAAGGTTAAAAGGAACAAGTAGCTGGGGGCTGCCCTTCTGCATTAGGAGGCTGGGTGGGGAAGCTAGATACCCTCACTATCCTCTCTCTCACACACTACGCACACTTTATATAACATGTCTGTAAAGGTTGGGATGTCTCTCAAAGATGGATTTCACCAGCCCTCTCACACTCCTCAGGCAGGCCCTGTTCATAATAGGGTGGTCATTGTCCACAGGGTTGATTACATTTGGGGCAGAAAAAAAAAACTGTTTTGCAAACGGCTTAAAAATGCTAAGGCCAACTCTGCTTGTTAACGTTTCCAGCCCCCTTTAGGAAATGGGAGCAGCAGCTGGCTTAGTCCCCTCAGGCAGTTGCCATGCCCAGGGTGTACCTACTAGTGCTGAAGCCACAACAGCTGCTGCAAGAGGCACTGCCTTCAAAAGCCCACCCTCACTGCTAGGAGTACAGGGCTAGCTCCTGTACTACTAATGGGCATAGTAAAAGGCCAGTTTGACAAGGACAATCTCTTCTGTGGCAGCAATGGCAGCAGGGGGATGCTACAAAGAGCTGCTGGCTGAAATATACTTTAGCAATACATATTATTGCGCTGACTTTTTAAACTGTCCCATGAACACAATCTTTTTAATTAGAGAAAATATTTCACTGTGTAATTGACAAATTGGACAGTTTATACAAATCCTACAAAGCAGGAAAAGAATAAGTAATGCTGTCATATCAAGCTCTTTGAAGAACAGGATCACCTAACATGGTATTTGAAAAGATATATTTAGGAAACAGGGATCCAAAATAAAACTACATTATACTGCAACCTCAATGTAGAGCATTAGAAAAGTCCAGGAGCTGAGCTATATAAATCCATTAATTTTGTCAATCAGCTTCTGTAACAGCAGCCTACAGAACATGCGAATTCCTGCTCCTCAGCAAGCACCAAACATGTAACTATGACGACATTTTACCCTTTTCTTTAAAAACTAAACAGAGGCCAAATTCCCCATTGTGTTACTCCAAGAAAATACATACAGTCCTGTTCACAACCAACATTTTGCCTTCCTTTGGGGCACCTGTTTAATACAATTCTGGTAAGTATCAATGCGGCCTATATTTACTTCAGTAAGTTTCATCCTTCCGTTTCTCTGTCCACCCCCATTAAATCGTGTTTTCTAAACATGCCACTCTCAATGAAATGATAATACTCGCCCTTGTGTTTTAAGAGCCGTGCCTCACCACATGCCGAGATTCCACAACTCCCAAAAAAGCCAATGGGAGTTAGAAGGTGAGTGAAATTTATCCCTGTGCAGAAGGCCTTATGCTGGCCCCAGGCACCTTTTAAATCCTGCATAAGCCTTCAAAATAAACTGGCTTTTTGCACAGTGGTGAATTTCATCCAGAGTAAATTAAACTTTATATAATTGGACCCTGAGATAATTAAGAAATAAAATTAAACACTACCAGTAAGTTTATTTATTAACAAATATTTACTAAAACTGTATAAATAAAAACCTAACAAAAATATCTTGGGCCACATTAGGCGATCAGTTTTTAAATAGAACTCCCCACTGACCGCAATCAAGATCTGTTTAAAAAACAGTGGCATGATCTGGCCTATTGTGACACACTGCTAGTGTCACAAGACCAGGATTATAATTTCTCTATGTGGAGAAAGCTCAGAAAGAAGTGAACTGTGAATGAGAAGGCTCTACTTTAAACAGAGGATTGTTTTATATAGTTTTAAACAAACATAGTGCTTTGCTTTTTAAAAGGTCTCTGCTAATATGTTGCTGTACTACATTTACTGCATCTATGGGGATGCATAGAAATAGTGAAAGGAAAAGCAGAAATTAGAGTTGCAAGAGTGTAAAATGTTGATCCCAGAAGAAATAGAACTGGAACCAGGACAAGAAGATGGGGAGAGAGATTTTTTCAAGGACCTCTCAGGACACCCTCTACATTCTGGATCCTGTTACACAGCAATCCCTACAAAGCTTTGGAGAGAGATGCAATACCCCCGGCACCCCGGGGATGCTTTTAAACAAGGCAGACACGCATGTCATTAGTGACAAAAGCCCACAATTTACTTTGAGAACTGTTTAATCTCTAAATGGTAAATAAAATCTGTAATTATTCAACAAAATAGGCTTCATTCACCATCCCCCAAACACAGAAAATATGGATGTGTTTAGTATTGTGGCCAAGAGGCTTTTATTTACCTTTAAAGTTCCAGTGAACAGGTTAATAAAAGACAGACTAAAGTACAAATGATTTATTTGTGAAAGGAATAAAGGAAGCCACACAATGACCTGGAAGCTGCAGAGCGAGGTAAGGAGCATGTTTTATTACATTTAGTACAGTATAGGATAATGCAGACCCCAGCAAATTATAGCGAGAAGGAAAGAAAAACAAAAAGAAAACATTTCTTGTATAGTAAGGTCTTTAACACTGAGAAGAAAGGGAACAGAGTCAGTGCTTTAGGAAAGTCTCATTTCCCTGGTTTCCCTCCTCCCCCCCCCTCACATAAATCAAACCAAATCTCTCCAATTCTGTTTTAAACCAACCCAAATCTATTTCTACATTCAACCTGTAGTGTTGTGTTAAGGGGGCACGACGAGGGCCCTCTCCCCCAAGAAAAGGGAGAAACACAAACACACCAGAAATAACCTCCCCTTGCCCTCAGGTGCTCAAAGTTGATTTACTTGCAGGGAGGGGGTTTGTTGGTTTGTTTGCAGGGGTGGGGACAGGGAGGCTGTATAATCTCTGTCGTCTAAGGAACATCCCTTATTCAAAAAGAGCCCCCAAGGCTGCGCTGCATGTCCCTGGGTCCAGGGGAATGAAATTTCCCCCCTCTGGAGCCTGGACCTGCTGCACCAGGGCAGAAAAGCGAAGAGAGCAAAATACAAAGTGACTCCCCAGAACAACCCCCAAAGCTCGCCTCCTGCGGACTCTGCTGCCCTCCCAGGGACTAACCTTGTGCCTGCTGCGCCTCCATTGTCCAGGAGACGGTAAGGCCGGGTCGAAGTTGAGAAGGAGCCGCTGCCTGGCACCCACCTGCACCGCACAGTATCCAGTAGGAAAGGCTGAGCGCTACTGCGGTAGCCGCCGCAAGTGGCCTCTAGTTACCTCTTTCCCCGCCTCCTCCCCTGGAGTCCGGCAGCCGTAGCCGCACGCCCCCTGGCGGCCAGACCCGAGTAGAGACGGCAGCGAGCCGGCGTGCTACACTAATGCTGTTCACCTGGAACAGGCAGACCGGCCTCGCCGCCGTCCCCGCCCCACAGGTGCTTGCACCATGGGGGGTATCACTCCGGCCTTGAGTGACAGCTGGGAAGCCCTGGAATCTCCAGGCTTGGGTTAAAAAAACCAACAAGATGAAAATAGTGTTACTGGACAGAAGTCTTCCATCTGGAAACCACCCCAATGTCCTCTTATAGAGCAAATCTGCCTCCAAGGGACCTGTGCAGGGAGTAGAGCTGGCATTTTACCTGCTTTCTCAATCTATTTTAAGCTACATAAAGGACACATCTTTGTTTAATGACATACTGAACATGAATTCTAAGATTTTTTAATGAATGTGTTAAAGAGATATTATCAATTTATAAATCACTCCTGTAGGATTTTTATTTATTTATTATTGTTACAAGTAACACCTAAAATGGCTGTAACTGAAAGAGATTAGAGAAATACATTGCTGTTCCTCCCTCCCCCACGATTATACTCTGCACATAGTCAGTTTCTCCCAGTCTTTCACTCGGCAACAGGGAATAGATTTTCCTCTTTTAAAAAAATCTGATTAACTGGCAGGGCAGGGGATTCAGAGGCAGATGTACCTGGAACTATTTTAAAAAATTAGTCAGGGGTTAAATTTTCAAAAGTGCGTAAGGTACTTAAGAACATAAGTCCCATTTTTAAATGTCCCTGGGGACCTAACTCCCACAATGAAAATGGGCTTTTGATAATCGCACTAGACACATGTCTCTCTTTAGGCACCTTTAAAATGTGGCAGTATGGGTCTATGTCACTTTTGAAAATGGGACATACTTCTAAATCACTGAAGCACTTTCAGTAGGACTTAGGAGCATAAGGCCCAGATCCTCAAAGGTACTTAGGTGCCTAACTACTTTTGAGGATCTGCAACCTAAGTGACTTAGGAGCATAAGTTCCATTTTCATAAGTCACTTAGGTGTTTGATGGCAAAATTTTCAAAATCTCATGGTGACAGTGTTCCTTAAAAAGTAATTTAATGTATGACACTTTACTGAGTGTCACTGTCAGCTTGGGTGGTTTTACATTCACAGGTTTTTTTAAGTTTTCTCCCTTATTGCTATATGAAAGACTCACACAAACCACGGGGGGAAATGACTGTGGTGAAAACAGTGGAAGTGATTATATGTAGTGCTATTAAATGCACAAAGTGAACAAAATGAAAAAAGAACATATATTTCTAATTTCTTTCAGTTACAGTCATCTTACGTGCTACAAGTAACAATAGTAAGAAAAAAAATTTTTTTTTAAGTTGCCAGTGACTCTTTAAGACCAAATGATTCAAATTAAACATATAAAATATGCCAATAGGCATCCAGGCTGGAACACAGAAGTTAGTCAGCAATGACAGATTTAGGCCTCAATCCTGAAAATATTTATGCACATGAGCTGTCCCATGTAATCTATTCATAATGTTCAATTTTATGTTTTTGCAGGAGTGGGGCTTTCGAAAGCTCCTCATTTTTAGTACTGCTCACCAAGAAAGAAGAATACATGTACAGTATAAAGTTTAAAAATAGGTATACAATAAAATTAAGCAACGGAAAATTTAGACTGAATACTAGGAAAACATTTCCTAAAAGTGAAATGAAATAGGCCTTTTCACACAACAGAAGGAGTTCTATTTGAAAAATGTTAATAAAATGGGGTTACACATAATTTCCACTACATTGATCTTAAACACTGTTAGATGGCTGCTGTGTACAGGGTGTTCAAAACAATTTTTGAAGAAAACTGTAAGGCTAGGAGTCAAGTACTAGTCACAAGGATGGGAACTCTGTTAGGCTCCATCCAGATCAGCTCCTCTAGGCTTGTTCAAGATGGGACTGAGGGAAATCTACATTTGTGAACTATTTTAAACACTGTTTTCAAATGTAGTTTATTTCTCATAGAAAATGGTGAAAGTCCCATCACTTGTGTACTTTAAAACTAAGGCAGAACAACGCATTCAAAAATAGAGTGTTGGTAAAATCCTGTAGTGGCAGGGGATGGCCTAGATTATCTTGGTCTTCGATTTCTATTCTACATTTAGTAAACTATGTTTGGAAACACTATTCTCCCACCCCACCTTTCAGTGGTTATGCATTGTGTACATCAAAAAAGTAACCCCTTTACATTGCATTTATTTCAGCTGAGATGGATAGCCAGTAAAATAGCTCAGAGAGTCAAGAGAAAGTCATTCTCCTTCCTGTGCTTGTTGACAAGGCCACTCTCCTCATTTAATCCCCTTAGTGGAGCTATTGTAATGTCTATAAAACACTATCCAATCACCACACCTATTTAACAAAACCACAGCTTCTTTACTCTGTGATGTTATGCTGTACACTAGCCTCTCTGAGTACCCAAATTTAGCATCTTAACTAAAAAATGGAAAGTTTGTCAGGACACCACTCTGTGTACCTATATGCTTTAGTGTAAAATGGTAGCTGGGGCCCATTTAAGTGTGAGTGTATTCAAGAATGGAGATTGTTAGTACATAGTTTGAGGCAGACTGCACATTTGCTTCAGTTTATGCTAATACCAGAATATTTTCTGACTCCACTATCCGCGGTAATCTTGTTTCTTTTTTCTTCGTAATTAATCTGACACTGGGAAATAATGAAATTAGGTGTTGCCTCTTTCTTATATATACATTTGTTAGATAGAGACTGTTCCTGATTGTGGACCTCACCTGAGCACGATGGGAGTTGAGAGCATTCAGAACTGCGCAATGAAAAAAAAAAAGTAGATTTGGTGACACCGAAACACTTTGCAAATCTGTGTCAATTTTGCATATTGTTTTGATTAAAAAAAAAACTTTTAAAAATTCCCCAAAAAATCAAAACAGTTTTGACATTTTCTAAACAAAATGTTTCCATTTTTTTATTTGAAACAACTTTTCATTTTGAAATTTCCTTCAGTTTTATTTTAACATGTTACAATGTTTTAAAAATGCTCAAAATATAAACATAAACATCTAAACATATGCTTCAGGTCAAAGTGTTTTGTTTGACCTGAAATGAATTTTTTGACTTTTTGGTTTGCCAAAATATAAAATAAGGAATTGAAACAAAAATATTGTGTTTTGGGTCAACCTGAAACAAAATTTGTATGTGTTTTGGAATTGCTAGCAAACTGAAAAATCTGTTATTCAGCCAGCTCTAGCACTCAGCACATTACAGGCTGAACTTGTTGGAGGGCTAAAATGAGAGAGTAAAGATAACAGGGCAATAAGGTAACATGAGCTAAAGAACGTTTCGGACCCTTATTTGTGGACCTAACAACAACATGTAACATTTTAGTTTTAAGAAAAAATAATGGAACTAAATGAAAATGATTATAGATAGTAGTCTAAAATGAACATTTATAAGTAAGAAAAATGATTGTTTATTGGAAAATATTTTAGAACATTGCAAAGTACAAATTTCATATTACAGCTCAACTTTGTTTTTTGAGGACAAAACTTGAAAGTGCCAGATTTGCCCAAGCCAGCCTTAATTTATATACATTTGAAAAAAAAAAGTTCCTTTTAATATGCATAGGCTGCTGCTTTTGAATTTGAATAATTGTAAAATATGAATAGTTTTTTTTCTGGCAAGCCTGCCCCATTTGTGATTTGTACATCTCTTTTGACTGCACAGAAGAGTTTACTACTTATGCAAGGGTGACAGCAGTATGCTGAATGTGAGAAAAATTGATTGCAGTGTTTCATATCTTTTCAAATAAGGAGACATTCTTCTATGAGTAGATCTCTGCACAGAAGTACTATTTAAGTCAATATGCAGTGGTGGTGTAGCTGTGTTGATCCTAGGATATTAGAGAGAAGGTGGGTGAGGTAATATCTCAGGACCTGAAGAGGAGCTCTGTGTAGCTCGAAAGCTTGTCTCTCTCACCAACAGAAGTTGGTCCAATAAAAGATATTACCTCACCCACCTTGTCTCTCTAATTTATGTGAATAGATATTTTGGATTAAAAATTTCAAAACACACTAATGGCAGGATATAGTCAAAATTTTGTGAAACAGCAGAGCAACCCCTCTCTATATGTAACTGTTTCACTGAATAGAGCACAATTAGTACATTTGCTTTTCTAAAAATATAGGATGAGATTTTGAAAGCTGTCTAAGAGATATGGATTAAATTTAAATCCATTAAATCTGCTGAAAAATAGGTTATTTTATTCATATTTTTATGAAGCCCTATTATGGATGAAATCTTTTTCACTCACATATCACTCATTTTTTCACACAAGAACATTACTGTGTAAAGAGAAACTGAGTAACATTTTACTCACCAAAATTACAATAATTGGCAATCACCAAAGCTAGATCTACACTTATTAGATTTCAAATACATTTAAGGAACCAAATCTATATTGTTTATTGGCTTCATAAGACAATCTCATGTCTATGTGGTAGAGTGAAAAAGAAACTGCTCCATCACAAGTATTTTCATAGCATTTTAAATCTCTGAAATCAATTTTGTTAAAAACAAAAGTGATCATAAAGATGACTAGCCCACTGACATTAAAGTCATGTTGTACTTAAAGGATTAATTTTCTATCTACAGCATAGCACCTCTAATTGTGTCACCCAATCTAATATTTCCCCATGCTATCTGCTACATCTGTCATTGATTTGGTAAGTTTCCTCATCGAGCTTGCCATTTTGGAGATTTCCTGCCATTTTTCTGACTGAAGAGACTGACGTAACACATGCTTTGTTTTCAGTGCTGAAATATCCTGATCAAGCTGCAGCATCTTAGTAGATGTTTGCGAGAGTTCACTGTCCCTCCCAACAAGCTGTAATGGGGAAAATATTGTCAGTTGAAAAAGGAAGCCAC